AAATTGGCTTTCTAAATGCAAGCGATAATGACCAAAGACTTTTTTTTAAAAAAACTCATTTCTAAGTGATCTCATCTCTCTACTTTGCACACATCACTTAATTCAATCCTCTCAGACAGGACCATACATTTGCGCACTTCCTCTATTGATTACCACAGGTCATCCTATTAAAGGGAAACGGATGAGCCAGGATATCGAGCTTTAATTTTTAAATCATAATAGTTTGTGGTGAGAGTGAGGTGGAGGCCCATCTAGGAAAGGAATAACCCCAGTGAGCGGCAATCTGAAAACCAAAAGAGAAAGCAAAACAGAATTTCCCTGGCTGGTCTTATCCCTGTTATGTTGGGAGATCTCACCCCCCCTCCTTAAGACCTACAAGAAAAGCTAAAGAAGCTAAACTTAAACTGGTCTTGACTATTTGGCTGAGGCCACTTCCTTCTAATAAGAGGTGCACAGCAAGACTTGGAGGCCAAGGTCTGCCCCCCCTCCCCGCATCCAGGTTTTCGCAGGGAGACATGAAGAAGCCCCTCAAAGCTCACCCTGGTGCCCTCCCAACCCCTGGCACCAGCCTCCACGGGGAGGCCATTGTGGGGAGACCGGTCAGCCTTAGATACTGAGCCACACAACCATTCTGTGCTTTTGAAAAACACAGATCTGAAAAACAGAGCACAGTCACTCTCTGACCAATTGTGTGGTTTTCTACATAAATCAGGGCTTTAAAATCCTGGGAAGGGATACATAGGACCCCAGAGCAAGGGTGACAGGACGCGGTGAGTCATCTCAACTTCCTGCTAATCACGGGAACCTGACAAAAGCTCGACGTGTCTCAGATTTGGCTGGGGGTTTCCTTCTCAGTTCAGCCTCAGATTTCTGTGACTCGCCCCTTCCTTCTTTGTGTTTCTCCCTCTGCATCCCATTTGTCCGAGATCCTTGTTGGTCTATAAATAACGTCATTGTGTTATGCTGGACATGGAGTTTTTAAATGTCAGCACTCTGTGCCCAGCCTTGCATGGTGAGAAAAAATCCAGTTTTTCTAACTACGTTCCTGCAACACTGAACTAACTGAGGAATTCAGCTGCTAAAAAATTTTTAAGTGGTGATATCTTCATAACTCTGGTGTTGGGAGGCAGGGGCAGGGTAGAGTCAATGAGTAGAATTTTCTTGACTTTCGGGTTTTGTCCAGATTATCCTTAAATGAGTAGTTCTTGTGATATCAGACTGAAAGAACAAACAAGAAGGGAAATTGGGATGGAACGTTAATCTGCAATTCAAAGAAGCAAGGAGAATAGGAATTCTTTGTGTTTCTGAGTCAAATGTATTCTGTTTCTGGTTTCTACCTGTCTGGATGGTAGAAAATGCAAACTCGGTCATTCCTGGGGCTTCTTGGCCGCCTGTGGCATCGTGAGTGCTGTATGGTACCAGGAATGGATGGAGGGAGGAAGAAGGGGCAGGGAGGGTGCCAGGGGGCAGAGCTATGGAGGCTACCATCATAGCCAACACTCCTCTTCCTGCTACAGTCAAGTACTGGTGTTAAAAATTATTCGGACACTTGTTAAAGACAATAAGGAAGACTTTATTCAGGAGACAAGTGCATTCAATAAGGGAAAGTGGGAGTTTATAGCCAAGGAGCAGGATGAGGAGGGCGAGAGATGGAAAATTACTAAGAGGAGACACTGAGATAAGGGAGGACTCTGGCCAAAACAGCTTGACAGGATTCTTGCTGAAGACAGCCAGTATGATCGGATACCAAGGATGGGGGACAAGGAATTTGATCAGATACGGAGAATGAAGATGATATGAAGGGTGGGGGTTCTCTCTAAAATGACCTGACAGGACTCCTTCTAGAAGCGGACAATGCAGGCCCACAAGGATAGACACCAAAGCCCAGGGTCAAAGTCCACTTGGCTTAGGGGAGCCTGACTATAGTTTAGTCGAGAAGAAAGTCTGTCACTGGTTTCCTGGCAAGCTCTGGGCAATCTACTCTGTAAGGACTCAAGTAGAGTCACTGTGTTCACAGACCCACCCGTGGGACCCTCACCACTGCTCTACAGGCAATTACCACCGTCCTCAATGAAGTACTCAGCACGAGAGGGGCTTGGGCCCTTCCGTACTTGGAAACTTCAAAGCCCAAAGCCTGCCCTTCCCCTTAGTTTTATGGACTCACCCACTCCCCACTCCCCACTCCCCACCCCCCAACACTGAGCCAGCACAATTCCCCAACTGCAGATGTTTTCCTTCACCCCTTTCCTCTGGTGGGCTGGCCAGTGTAACCCTGCCCAAAGGGTCTCTAGAAGA